GCTGCGTCTTTTAGGTCTTAAGTCTCCTCATTTCACTGGTTTTAATACCCCCTTGGTCAGTTTGCCGATAGTGAGAGCAGTCATCGGATACTTAAGACACATGAGGATGATTGAGATCTCGTATAATAGTCTCAGACCATTCTTAAAAAAAAAAAATTTTAATACCCCCTTGGTCAGTTTGCCGATAGTGAGGGCAGTCATCAGATACTTAAGACACATGAGGATGATTGGGATCTCGTATAATAGTCTCATACCATTCTTAAAAAAAAAAATAAAAAATGCATGATGTCATTCAATTTCAGTGACATTTAAATGATTACAAACCATAAAAGATACATGTAAAGTTTAACAACACTTTTTATTTGGTAGTTATCTATTAATTGTAGATTAAAGTGCAAATAATAGAATAAGTCGATACTTTATCTTTTACTTTTGGTTTCCAGCTCCTCCAGCACTTCATATCATTTTTTCCCTGTGATAGTGCTTCACCCTTTTAATCTGAATAAAAGCCTTCTAGACCATGTTGCATTTTACTTAACATAATGTGGATCTACTAATCAGGAACTTAGCACTGAATTTTAGATTATTGCCATTTTCAATTATTTTTAGGAATATTTACATGCATACAATTCAATTCTTATGTATTTACATATCTAACATTTAAACTTTAGTTTTTCACAAATATGTCATCTTATTTATGAATGAAAAAGTGCATGAAAGTTAATACGATGGTACTTTTGGTGGTATAAATGTAAGAAAAGTAATTAAAGTTTAGGTGTTTGATATCTAAATTATAGAGAAATTAGGGCGAACAAAAACAATAATCGACACAAAACCAGAAGAACACAGAAATTTAACGAGGTTCGGCGAAGATGTGTACGACCTCGGTAGCAGAGCGGCGAATTTCACTATTTCAGAGGAGTTCAGTACATACCCATAGGGTTACACATCATATATATAGATAAAACTCATAAATAAAATTACTAACACGCCCTCGCTCCCCCAACTCACTTATTTCCAAGAGACACATCTTCACTCCAAGAGACTTCAAATTCCAAAACATTGCTATTTTTAAATCTAGGAACTAGTTGATATTTTTGAACTACCGATTCACGCACGCCACGATCAAACCATGGAGAACTTATGAAAAAAATATATGGGTTGGGGTCTTACGATGAATTTTGATATTTGAGTGAGAATTTGAATAATGGATGAAAGAAGGTGCTAGATTTTTAAATAACAATGTTTCAAGGTCTATATATGCAATTGCCCCTATTTATTGATTGTCTATGGTTACGATAAATATCATCACAGCATGAAGATTGATGTTCTTCATTAAATAATTGGAGTCGATTATGACCCATAGCTACTTC